CTGCACACTTAAACCCACCTGAAAGGCAACTCCCCCCCCCCCCCCCCCCCCCCCCCCCCCCCCCTCTGGAGGACACCCCCCCCAAAAGAAATTGTACCTTCAAAGTTCAATTGCGGAATCCGACAGATCTCAGCGGGCGCAGTCGGATCCCGCAATCGAAAAAATAAAAATAGAAAAAATTGGCCGTTTGTTGAGCTCAACCGGTTTTCCAGTTCACCCCCCCCGACCAGTCCGGACCCGGTTGGACCGGCCGGTACCCGACCCAGCCATGGTTCAGTTGTCCTTTTGTTTTTTCTTTGGGACTATTATCAGTTTAGGCGTGCCTATCCTGTAGATCCATTCAGTTGTCCTCCTGTCTTCGCTTTGGAACCATTTGTCGATTTAGGCATGTCATCCTTGCACAGGGTCCACGGTCCCTTGATTTAGAGCATACTCACACCGCGACCTATAATCCCAAACTCGCAAAGAAAAGGGTAGACGGCCGGTCATACAGAGTTCCCAAACCCACAAATGTATTATTCGGTCCCCATTTGTCAGCGGCCTGCAGAGCCGCAGGGCAAGGGATTTTGCGGTCACCTTTGGAGGTGACCACAAATGCCTTATTTATTTTTTTGAAGTTTCTTTCAACATTGGACAAAATTCATTCATCAAAGTTAATGCAGATTTTGCAGCTGGCGCTTTGAGCCCAGCAAGACACCAATTCCTCATTTCTCCCGACCGCCGCAACTTTATCCCTTTCACAAACCGGAATGATGCCTGAACCACAAATCAGTCCCCCTAATCTGTGTGGATTTGGGGCCGCAGAGTGACTATGCCCTTAGGCATGACAAGGCCGCGCTCTGTTACTCTCAAAATATGGCGAATGAGAATGAATCTTCTGCTACAACAGGGGACGGCACACCTCCATGTCTTCTGTCGTTTGCGTGTGTGGTGAGTAGTCGAGGGATTTGCAGGGGCCATAGTCCCGCGAATAAGGTGTGTCAGGGCCGCGTTCCGCTACTCACCAACTGTGCAAAATGAGAATCAGTCTTCCACCAGAACATGGGATGATACCCTGGTTGCCCTGGACACGGACATCCGGACAATTGGACACAGTCACCAGACCTGTGTCTGGATTAAACGGGACGTTCGGTTAGCCGGACAACCGGACCCGGACAGTGCGGTTGGGTGTATCAGTGTCCGGTTGTCCAGTTGAAAAAAAAAAAAAAAAAAAAAAAAAAAAAAAAAACTGTCACACGTGACACGAGCACAGACACACGCAGGTTTGTGGGACTGCTCCAACATGCTAATAAAATTGGAAATATTAACGTACGAACTTCAAAGTTCCGAACTTCGAATCTTGAACCGACACACATGACACAAGCACACACACACAGAGTGAAGTTCCACACCCGCTCCAGCCACCAAGCATCAGTTCCACACCCGCTCCAGCCCCCAAGAACTTTGAAGTTCTGAACTTCAAAGTTCGGAGCTTCGAATCTTGAACCGGCAAGACGGAAACCTCCTTGTCGGCGGCAATCTCCTGGACTCCTGGGCGATGGAGGAGCTCGATGTGGCGATCGCGTGGCTGCAGGGGGCGGAAAATTCAAGGAGAGCGCTGTTACACCAGAGGGAGTGTTGCTGCACGAGGCACTTCGTTTGAAAATGGGGTCCTCCCACCGGCGGGAAACCAACACCAGGATACTGTAGCTGCTATTGCCCTCCGAAGTTCTCCAACAGCTGGCCCTTGAGGGCTGGTCCGGTCGGGGTGACGGTCGACAAAAAACTACAGCAACAATTTTCTAGAGTACCCCGGGCCCAGGAAAATGGCCTGGGGACCCCTTTTTTTTTTTTCGAATTGCTTGAAATGAGGGTCCAACCGGATCCTCCAAACCAGAGTATGTGCGCAGGAGGAGATGTTGTACACCATGATATTAATGCTCAAGGCATCTTCTTCTGCTAGTATTTCCATGTGTGTGTAATGTATTCTCTCACGGACACCGGACTGTCTGGATCGGGATCCGGACGTCCGGTTGGCAACCATGGATGATACACTGCCATATTTTTTGACTTTTGTGTTTGCGGTGAGTAGAGGAGGGACGCCTTCTCAGCCTTGCGCAGGGGCCATGGTAATCTTCTCCGCATCCTCTTCCGATTTGGACGGATGACCCCAAGCTGTGTATAGTCTGGGGGGCTCGCTCCACAGACACATTGGATAACACAGGCCATAGAATGCCGCCCAGCCTGCATTGGTGCTGCCTGGCCATGCCAAGGGCCGAGTTGTGCCTAACTTTGGCCGTGTTTTTTTTGTTCCCCCTGTGTGCTTCGGGTACGCCGCGGTGAGCATCCACTTGTCGTCTATAAAGAACGGTCGAGAACATTATCCCCCTACCTTCATTCTCATTCCTCTACCTCGCCTCTCCATCTTTCTTCTTTCCTGCTTCCATCTACCTCACAAGCTGAAAAGCACATGTACTCCCCCTTAGCACCTCCAGATATGTTCTCCACTTCCAGTCCTCTCTGAAGATCAAGCTACAGCAGAGCTCAACATCCCTGCATCCCGCAAAAGATTGGATACCCCCCCCTTAGCACCTCCAGATATGTTCTCCACTTCCAGTCCTCTCTGAAGATCAAGCTACAGCAGAGCTCAACATCCCTGCATCCCACAAAAGATTGGATAACCCCCCCCCCTCTCCTCCAGATCTCTCCTCCGCACATGGAAGGACAGAACGATACCATAACCTTTTCTCCTTCCTCGTTCCACCTTCCATCACTCCTCAACCAGACACTTCTCTTTCGTTCTAAAAGATGAATGAATCTCTACTCCTCCCTTTTCTCTCTTTCACAGGCTCAATGCTCAACAGCATGAACGCACCCTGCGAACACAGCTTTCGTGTTTTTTTCATTGGCTTTCCAACAAGACCTGAAAAAGACTTTCATGAATGTTATTGAGTCATTACTCTCCATTCTCTCTCTCTCTCTCTCTCTCTCTCTCTCTCTCATGTACACATACATGTTTCTTGCCCATGTTTGTGCCATTAAGGGGAACGATAGGGGGAACTGCGGGGGGCCAGGGGGATTGGGGAAGCGGTAGGAATGGTGGGAGGCCTGAGAGGTGGTGGGGAGGGCAGTTTGGTGAGGAGAGATGGCTGGAGGCGGTGGGTGGCAACGTGTGGCCTAGAAGGCGGTGGGGTGCTGGAAAGCTGGAGAGGTGGGAGAAGGTCCTAGTGGGGAGTGGAAGGGGCTCTCTCTCTCTCTCTCTCTCTCTCTCTCTCTCTCTCTCTCTCTCTCTCTCTCTCTCTCTCTCTCTCTCTCTCTCTCTCTCTCTCTCTCCCTTGCTCGCCTTTCACCCTCCTAGCTGCTGAGTCCTTTCCCTCTTACGTGTGCAAGCTGTGGTGCCAGCAAGAGGTTGGATGAGGCAACAAGGCGGGAGGCAGCAGCAAGCGTGAGGGGAGCAAATGAGCAGGCAGCAGCGGCGGGCGAGTGGCCGGGAAGGCACCGGAGACTGGCCGGCACGAGGGCTGCAGAGGCAACAAGCAGCCTACCGGCCATCCTGATTCGGGTTTGCCTGAGAATGACTGCTTATATTGAAAAGAAGCCCGGTAGGTCCTCCCCTGTGTCGGTAACAAAGCTCCCCTGTGTCAGCAAGCAGCCTACCGGCCGTCCTGAACAGCAATCAATTATAACAAAGCTCTTGACAATCTCTATATATTCATGACTATACTATTCATAGTCTGACTCATTATTCCTAACAATGATTGAACCTTAAGCCTTTAGAGGCTTAATCAAATTAATTCCCTTTTTAATTTCTCAAAGGGGTAAACTGAAAACGGTATCCTCCTATTTACTTGTCAACATTTCGGGCCCTCCCCGAAAAAACACATGCTTGAGCAAATGCAGGGGTTAGGGGAGAGGAGGAAGAGACACAGGAGGAAACTAGGGGAGACGGGGAATTAGGAATAGTCCGAGGCAAGTGGGGATGGTGAATTGTGCAATACGCCTTTCGTCCACCACCACAAACCACTCCAACACATGCACAGAACCTCACCTCTCTGCCTTTAGATCCACCTGTTTCTATACCTCCCTGTCCTTCTGGTCTCATATGACTATCCACCCCTCTCCACCTCATCCTCGTCTTCATCTCTCTCTCTCTCTCTCTCTCTCTCTCTCTCTCTCTCTCTCTCTCCCCTCCTCCCTTTTTCTCTCCCCGCTCCCCTTGTCAAAGGGCCACATCAATTTGGCTTGTGACTTCGTATGCGCAATATGTCCCTTCCTTTCATCAGGCTGGATTGTGCCTTCTTATTGCCAAAAGAACATGTGAAGCAGTGTTGCATACCCCGACGGTTGGCGGCCCTTGACTGGTCGGCTGCCGACCAGTCAACAGGTCGGCTGGTCGGCACCTACCGGTCGGGGGTCGTCGGCACGCCACAAAAAAAAAAGTTCTTTTTTTTTTTTTTTTGGGTCCAGAATCCCTAATAAC